CCCCCCCCCCCCAATTGACAGCCCACTGACAGTGCTGGATTTATGCACCAATTTATCAGCTCCAGCCAGCTACCTACCCCTCCACCCGAAACCATCCGTGAACAGAACTGCGGCAGCTGCAACCACTGTACGACGAGTACGCGGTTATTACAGCTGACAACGATGATGATGGTGATGGATGTCCGAAAAAGAACTTAACCAGTGACCCAAACAAAGTGTCAAGTCATAATTGCACATTCTTCGTATCCAGTTGGTGTGACGTCTGAACGAGAAATGTTTGCTGTGTTTCGGCAGCATAGACCGAGTCAATCGACATATGATACGCTTTTTGTCATTCATTCTGTTGTCGTAGCTGCTGAGTAAATCTGCTTCGCGCACTTGGGTAACTCAATGGTTCTGGGTAGCACTAACCGGATACGCACTCTTCATGCACTTTGATGCTTACTGTTTGGAAACCTACTAAGTCTTAGAAATTTCTTTAATTTCTGGTGAGCAGACTGTTCTTGGATGGCGTGACGGTGTCATGTATCAATGCAGTATCTCACACCATTCTCTGGAATAAATTACACTTTGCTGTTGAGACATTGACCAATCTAGTCTCCAGTTTTCACCCGCTTTTCCACTTTAGACGACGCGATCGTCAGCGGTCTGCAGTTTGTCCGAATCCAACTGAACATACCCAACTAAAACCATCATATTCAGCTGGAGGCAAACTTTTGCACCACCGCGCCACCGAAGTTTCTTCACTTCAGTTAGGCTGTGACGGACGGTCGCGCGCTGCTGTTTCAATCAAGCAAGGTACTACAGAGATTTCGAACGCGACGGGCAACGGGACTAATACTATGCTCTCTGAAGGAGCTCCGGAGTCGAATCAACCAGTGTCTGTGGCCCAGTCTGCATGTACTGGTTTGTTGTCCCATCAATACGCTACTTGTACACCTTCATTATACTTGGTTCCTGGTAGTGTACCACCCACACCCAGTAGCGAACGATATGTAAGTAGGCGCAGTTCTACTCATCGTACCACCGTTGTCACAGGGACAGAACAGAACCTCTACGTAATCCCACATGGGGCTAATCAACCTGCTGCTGATGGTTCGCGTTCCGATCACAGAAATACCCAATCCTACCACCAACCATCCACCTTACCGATCGATCTTACCGTCCCTCCAGGAAGCCAGTTGCGAACGGTGTCCTTCAGCAGTAACCCCTGTTCCATGAGTGGAGCCTCCCCAGTGGACCCACATCAGCCGGTCAATATTGCCTATTTGCCCAGTGCAGATTTCAGTAAGTGATTTTTGGTTATCCACTTTTCCTCTCGGTTTCCATGTTATGTATTAGAGCCTTTTGTTACTCCGGTCAATTATACTTGTCGATTTATCCAATGTTCTTCCAAAATTTCTGCCTGGATTGTGAACGCACAATTGCGGTTGCCTGTGTTTGGTTTGCTTTCAAAAAATTCCGGTCACATCACAGTTATATGGTTTTCCACTGTTTTTCGTTTCTCTAGGTGCTCAAGCTACTTTACCTTCTGATGGGACTGGTCAGTCATCTGCGACCGGTTTGAACTATACGATACCACATTCCGTTCTGAATACCGGCCCACTTCATTATGATGGACGGACTGTTATGAGCTTATCCTATCAAGCCGGAAAACCGCCGCCCAATGCTATTTTACCAGTATTTACTGACACTTCCTCTGCTCCACTCCTGGTTACTCCGTCTCCAGTCGGCACCACTTATTCTGTTTCTCACCACCCCCACGAACAACAATCGCAACAGAAACAACACCAAGATCTACTAAACTCGATCAACGTTGCACGGTTCATTTCTTTGAACTCTGCACCACGTAACCCTAAGGCAGCAGCAACCACGGACATCAGCTCCTTCTCCTCACTACCGACAAATTCATCACAACCGCCAACTCAGTTCTCTACGAAGCTTTCTCGTCACACCAATGTGGAGACAAACCTAATAGTATCCGCCGGCTTGGGTCGTGACGTGGTCAACTGGTCAGTGGCCAGGGGCAGCACCAGTCATGCAGGTGGCCGCCATAGTCCCCATGTTAGTGGGATCAACCACCGGATTGCACAGTTACACCAGAATCCGGATGACCGTTCCATGCAGTTGGTCATTTTACAAGACATCAATCAGGCGAGTAACATTTTTGTGATCCCAACATGACATATATATTAGCCCGTGTTCACTTTCAGTACTCATTCTTTATTTGTGTTCTCTCTCACAGATCCTCCTAATGGGATTCGAGGAGAATCTCATCAATATGAATGTTCACAGTCTTGTCAGCTGTATATTGGACATACTAGAGTGTGGTGAAGAACATCTGATTGAACTGAAAAATTTGGGTTGTAACGTGCTAACCCACATGATGGATGCGTTACCCCGCAGTTCAGAAGCTGTGGTCCCAGCATTACCTCTGCTTTTGACAACCATGTCATCCAGTTTCGTGGGAGATATTTTGGAACGGATCATCAATCTGCTTGAACAACTATCCAGGCGACATGGTAGAGAAGTACTGCAATCCGGAGCGATTATGGTAAGACGCTTCCATTCTAGGCAGTTAATACTGTTCTGTGTGTCGGACCCTTCCAATCTACATCATCACGATTTGAGTTTTTAAACGCCGATTGATGAATTCCATTCGGCATTTCTCCCGTATATAACTCTAGTTACAAGGAAGCGTGGCGTCATCGCGATGGATGGTGTTTAATAGTATCTAGGTTCGTCTGTTGTCCGAAATCGGTGTCACGGTTTTCAGTTTTCTCCCTAGCAGCATGACGGGACGGAAGTTTTTATTTCCACTTCTACGATAACTACTGTTCGGCGGACAAACTGCCTGTTTGTGGAACATGAGAAACTGTGGTTGTCTGTTCGTTGAGCCGCATCACGCATGTACACCAACCACAGGACCAACGACGTGAACCTACGATATCGCTATCAACGGCTTCGTAGTGCTGGAAAGAGAAATACGTGAACTGTGGACAAAACAACCGAAGTGACGAAGCCCAGTCATTGTTGTCACCTGATCGGTTTGAACTTTCCTGGTCGCTCGTCCGTAAAGAGAGGGGATTGATAACTTTGAAAAACTTTCTAGTTTTCCTATGGCAGATGCTGACGGCTTTCTCACGGAAATTTATTAGGTGGTTTTCTTAACAGCTGCACCACTAATACGATTGTGATAAAATTTCCGATCCGAACTTAATCTCAGAAGGAAGTCAGTTTCGTTTTATCATGTCAACCCTACGGGACTCATGTACATATTTTCTACTCGTCACTTGCCTTTTCTAGACCTGCTTGGTATTGGTCTGTGTTCTCTCTTCAGACGGACCCAAACCTCAGCTGTTCATTGACATCAGCTGTTTCTTCCGGTATAACCTTCATTCGCGCGGCTCGTGCATCGCTCGATAGTATATTCACCCGGCTAGGCGTATCACTGTTTCCTCTGTTCATATGCTTTGTTCTCGAGCTGTTCAGCTTTTCTGTCCGACAGAAAGGGCTGATCTCATTTTCCAACATCACGTGATCATCCACACGTCCGGGTTTCAGTGTGTTTACGCACGTACACAAACGACCGTCATTCATCAGGGTATGCGCGACAGTCATGTGCTTTGTCTGTCTTCTTGTTCATCCATTTAACTCCGCAACTATCGAAGCTTTACTTGTTTGAAATCCGACAAACTTGTCAAAAAAACGATAACTGTTTTGTTCTCCGATGTTGTTCGCATATGTGAACTATGCCCTTCTCCACACTGGATAACTTTTGGTATTCCTACATTTTACCGGACCGGTTCTTGGGCATGTTGGTGACAAGTAGAAAAGCAGACTACTGATAACAAAAATGAGACCGTCATTCTTCCACAAGTTACCTAGACAGCAAGTGTCTATTCTCAGTCTGTCAAGTTGTTTTGTCTGCGTATTATGATACATTCTCTGTTCGGTTGTAGTTACTTCCTCGGTCTTGTTTCCTTTAGACGTACTTTCCGTTGCCTGGAGCGCAACACGATGGGACTGTTAAACTGATAAGTCCAGAGAAGCGCCCGTTCACTCTATCGTCACTCACGATGCAGAGTGTAAACGCAATATAGTATGTATAACTTTGTAATGTGCTACTCACAAGGTTGCTGAAAATCCGTCGACAGCCCACAACTGGTTTCGCCCTTTTTGGGGCTCATCAGGTAGGCGCAGTCCCCGGGTTTCTACTTGAAACCAAATTGCACGAAGTAAGCGAATATACACTCATTTGCAAACTAATTTAGTTTTTCGAGAGACTCACCTGGAACCAAGCTGAATCTCTCGTTTGCGGCCTGGTGCAGCACATTCAGTTGCCTGAGAACATCACAAACGAGAGATTCAGCTGGGTTCCAGGTCAGTCTCTCGAAAAACCAAATTAGTTTGCAAATTAGTGTATATTCGCAATATGGTATGTTTTTTCCCAGGAAGTAAAAACGTCACGGCTTTGAACAAATCACTCACTCAGCGGACTGTTGTAGAAGGATGCGTTAGGATACCTCTCGTGTGACCTCACTACAAGCCCCATGTTGTCTTCTTCATCGGGACGTTAAGCCCAGCTAATAGACTCCAAAAATGGTGAACCATCTAGTGGGCTGTCTGCACAATTTCACCAAGTTTCCTGTTTACTTACGAAAGGAAACTTTGAATATCGGTCCCACTTAAAACTGATGTAACCTTTGCAGTGCATGATCATGGAGCTGCGCTCACTGTAACGTCCCTTGCTACAACGTTACCCAGCCTTCCGTTGTATGTGGGTGCGTACGAAAACTTCGCATCGTAAATCTCTTTATCGTCGCTCGATATCCTTCGTTTGTCCCGTCAGACTAGTCACGTGAATTATGCGTCCAACTCGACAGCGGCTGCACCCCAGCAGTATGTACATGGTTACACCACATTGTTACACCACATCAGTGGTTATTTGATACTTATGCGGTGGCTACGACCACTCAATTGGTAAGCGCAGAAATAACAACGGTAGATAATGAGGATGGCGGTGAGGAATTTTTCTGAGTCTGACAGCCTGCAAAGCTGAACTTGTATCTACAAGGACCGAGTTGGTGCCTTCAATGCGTAGTTCGCCCTCCGATCTTCCCGATGAAACGTCCACTAATCCCTGTGTTTAATGATCAGTTATATCTGTTATCGCCTCCAATGCGTAGCTATAGACCTCACATCCCCCAAATTGTCGGCTGATGAAACTGTCAGCTGTAACAATTATACGGCAAGTATATGGTTTTCACAGGTGAAGATGATAATGATGTGCAACAAAGTCGCTCACTGTAACAAGGAAGGAGCGATCGCTCGAGCAGATGAGTGCTCCGTCATACGATAGGTTCCTTATTTTCTTGGAGTAATAAGAGAAAGACCAAATTGGAATTCGTCCCAATTAGATTGTGTCATTTAAAAATGGACGGACATCCTAACCGGAGTAAGCTATGAAACCACATCGTGGCTCGGTGGTCAGATAGAATATAATGCATTTATGGCCTCCGTAATACAGCTCCGTTGGGCAGCGAAATCGGGGAGCTTCCAACTGTCTGAATCGACTGTGATTTCCATCTGATAACCTAACAATCGGTACACTGTTGGTGGTGTTTGAAATCCATGTTGCTTAGCTGCTTTCTTCGTACGAAGCCATGTCCCATGGACGTTTCCTTGTTATTGGTTTGTGCCATTTTTTGGGCTCCTTTGTGAAGTTTCCGTATTTCAAACTTCTTCACAACGAACTGCTTCGAACTCACTTGTCGTACTGTTCTTCTCAGCATCAGGTGTTCTACGCACGTGTCACTGGTACCTTAGTTAAAAAATCGTACAATTTCTCAACTTAACCACAAAGTGCACTTGGGCGTCACGTGTTGTAGCTATTAACGCTAATCAGCATTTCAAACAATGTGAAGAGCACGTACTTTTTCGGTAGTTTTGGATTTTACTACCCCGATGAGTGCTGTGTCGTACTATTTGCTAGGCAGCGCTTATCTTGTACATAAATTCAATTCAATATGAAGAACTCAATGGAATGAGCCTCCAAACCAAGCCTGTTTCTGAACTCATGATCCGTTGTTTTTTGGCCACTCAAACATTCTCGACTTTTGCGCGCTCACAGAGAACGTTATCCGGAAGGTCTTCTGTTCAGTTACACTTAACTTTTTCCCAACGGTTGTATTTTTTTTACCTGGTGTTCAGACTTATCCTATTTCCAGTTTTTCCGCCTGTCCACCACAGTGTTTTTTGTAACAATTGTAATCACTCACGTGTATCGACACGTTCCGTCCCTATTTCCCACCCCCGTAGTCCGCCCTGGGATTCTATGATTTTGTCACTCTTGCGCAACACCGGACAATCCTGACGATGGTGGCCAATTGTTTCGTGAATTTGCAGCCGAGCGACTTCGAGCTAATTATCGATTGCTTACCCGGTCTGGCTGAGCGGTTGAAAGCGCCGGAGCCACGTTGTGTGGAGCATGTATGCACATGCTTTGTCCGTTTGGTCAACACGTATCGCAACGAACCGGAATTGCTTAAGCGCATCGTTACGACATGTGACCTATTTACGAATTTACAACATCTGGTATGTACTTATGTACAAATTCACTCGCTGTTTGTTGATTAACGCTCAGATCCTCTAGGACATGCCAAACATGTGATTTATTTTGGCTCTCTTCGGGTCAGCAACTAAATAGATCATCCAGGAGTAATTTGGAACACTGTTATTCTGAGCTATGTACATTAGCAGTGCTCATTCATTCGTCACGCATTTTACAATTTCTCGACCTTCGTGGGAGACTGTATTTATTCGGATTCGAGATGCAGTGTAAATGGGTTAATGCTAGGCTTTTCATAACTAGCGTGACGCCTGTTCGTAACAGGATAACCAACAGGTAGCAATAGACACAGAAATTTATTATCCTAAGCAAAGTTTCTAAAACATAAAGCCGCTTGGTAGATTTCGAAATTCCGTGCCAGAGGACTACTTGTAATTGGTGTAAGAGGAATCCGTTGTCTTTTCCCCTATCGGTTGTCCGTGCACTCGGAATAGCACGAAAGTGTTAACTTTCCTATCACACCTGTCCTGCTAGCCGTGTTCGACAGCCTATCGATTTCTCCAACCTTGAGTCGTTTACATCCTCCCAGTCCCATCCATCGTCCCTAGAAAACGAAGCCCCAAGCCGTACTTACCTTTTTTACAACTGTTCACTGACGGCAGATTTGTTTAACCGTACAGGTGATGTTTCTCCCTATAGTCACTGAAATTCTGCGGCTCTGATAACACATTTCATAACTACAAATAAAATTTTTAAAAACGCATTTCTGTTATTGAAATCGGACTAGTATGCGCAGAACGTATTTTAGTAACTTATCTCGTTTCACTTTACAACCCTCTTCCTATCACTTTATAGTTAGTTTTCGCTTAAAGCTACTCCTCGGGATGTATAGAGCCTCTATCGGCTAGTCTTGTGTACGGAAACGTTTAGATGTTGTCCTAGTCTGATCCACCAACTAGAATCTTACCGTTTACATCGGTTTTATTCCGCAGCTAATGGCGTCACCGCCGGTTCTTTCAAGTGTACGGGACGTGATTCACATGCTAGCTATTGTGTGCTCTTCGTGTCCTGAACTTGCGGTGGAGTTGGTGAAAAAAAGTAAGTACAACTTTATTTTTTAGTTACTTCTATAGATTTCCCACCAATGTGTGCTTTTCCATCGAGAGTTTATAGTCAACCACGTACTAAGATCATCTACTGCGTGTGCATTCGATTTAACCGGCTAATGTTGTTGCTTGAAATCTACCTCGATTTACTGTTCACAGTGATTTAGAATGTGATTGATACCCCCGTACGCGCCTTAATGGCTTTGTGGTCGTGGTGACGCACAACACGAAAGCTTCAAGGACATTACTGATTATCTTTGACGACCACCGATTCATTTGGTATACACGTTCCGAAGCGGTGTGATGAAGCTGGTCAATTTCATCTGTTTGTTCCACTTCCAGCTAAGTGGGCACCTAGTTCTTGGTACATCACGGAGCTTAGAAATTTTTGTAAGCTAACTTGGAATTCATTTTATATTTCATATTTTGGCCGCGTTAGGTAGTTCCATCAGTCCATAATCGCTGATTTCACGTGGATCTAACAGTCGACCATTTTTTATTACTGCTGTCTCCTCTTGTGCAGCAAGGCGGTGCGCGTGAACTGTAGAGCACAGCTTTCACGAACGATGGTTTGAAACCAAATCGAAAACTTCCATATGGTCTGCTTGTAGTTTTGGGAGGAAGCCGCTCCGTATTTTTCAAGGTTAATCATTGGTTTTACATCAATTTGTCCAGAATGCTGTCGTGGTTGACACTGAGCAGCTGACCTCATGGACCTTTATTTTATCTGTTAATATCTCCTTCATCTACACATATAACCTATTGGTGGACAAAATACCCACTGAAGATTATTAGACCCGGATCTGTTAATTCTCCTTCATCTACACATATAACCTATTGGTGGACAAAATACCCACTGAAGATTATTAGACCCGGAATTCCCCGGGACTCCCCAATACCCAATTCTCAATTGTGTCCTCCACTCGTTTTTGGGTATTCCGGGAGGAACAGAACGTCTCCATTCGAAGATGTTTTGAGAACCATATTTTTCAACATCTGGGACTAGGCATAGGTTCACCTAAACACCATCGTGGAAGAGAGTTCACAATCACAGTGCCTCTGCCGTTACCCTCATACACACTGTCCGTCTGGCACAGAAAGTAACACGTTACTCAATGAATGATGGGAGGGCATCTATACTGCATCGTCAAACCACTCGCACCTCTGTCGTTGAAGACATTCCGAAATCAAATTTCCCGTCGCACTATATAACTCGCGATTTTTTTATGATCATTGCTAAGCTGTTGATACCAGTTGACCATCTTTATTTCTGGCCAGTCCGCAGTAAAAGCCTGGAGAAAAAGCAGCATCATTTTTCCTTAACTATCTGTGCAAATTATCATTAACGGAGCCAGTACCATTTGTGTGCGACCAAACCCTGTTCGTGAAAATGTTAATCCACAATCTTATCCAATAAACGAACCAAGCCAAGGAAGCCTCAAGTTACATGAAGTCGTGGACAGTATTCCTCTGTCATTGCGAAAAATCACCCACGTTGTGCTCAGGATTGTTGAGACGTCTTGACGCCTCACTTAACTTCTTGTTTCGCAAAACACAGCTTGCGATATAACAGGTTTTTAACAACCATCCATGTCGTCCCTATACGGTCTCATGACATTTGAGTGCTTGCGTTTTTTCAATGGTGATGCGTGGTTTGCCTTCATTAACTCTGACCGGCGCTCCCAACGACTGTGTAATCCGTTGCTTACCTTCGCGCGGTATTCGTACGAAATGCATGTCAAACGAGCAATGTTCCTTGGCACCTTTTCTAAGAATGACCACTGGTTCTCCAGGAACGGGGTTGGCAAAGTCCTTATTAGCAACGATTTGAACTCCGAGTTTGCTTGGCCGTTAAGACTGACTGCGAAGGAGGAGAGTGGTCCGAATTTGTTGTAGTTTTCAGACAGGCCATTAGATTTCAGCACCGCCAATTCTATGACAACCATGAATGGTTGACCGTTTTTTCTCTTTACCCAACCGTTCCACGCAATCGTGTTTTTGACGTAAGCGAGTCGTTGTCTCGTTTTTGTCGCAAGAGTAACACCGCCGGCCGCTAGTCTTGATTTGCTGCCAAAATTGACAGTACTATCGAATTGCGGAACTTTCTTTTTACTACCTTTTTATCCTGGTAGCGATGGACCTGTTTGGTTGGTATGCATAGCCCCATTGAAGCGAGCCACTTGGCTGGGTGTCTGCTTGTGCATTTACGGCTGAATTCATTTTTCTCTTCTACAGACATCTCATCCACGCTGTACTGCATATTGACCGGAGAAGCTATCGATTCGGATACTCTGCAATCCATCATCTCATGCCCTCTTGACAATCCATCGTTGTTAGCCCCACTTACCGGTGATCAGCCTGGTTCCCCTCGCCGCCATCGTTCCCATTCTGGTAATACTCGAAAACGCACGTCGTTTTCCAAGCATTCTCGTCCCGAGGTTGGTGACGATTTGGGTTCCTCTGCAACCCTCGGGCCCCCAGACATATGGCCTCCTTTGATGCTCACTCTGTCGCCTCTGTCTGATTCACTCCCGCTTACGGTATCTGTTACGAAGCGCAGTCAAGAGGACGTCCACTCAATAGTACAACTCATTTGGTATGTTGTGTTGGTCCCGTATAGGATGCGAAACTTCATTTTAAAAAACCACTCGCTTTTCCTTTTTTTCTGCTCTCTTCCAACGAAGAACGTCATTCAGGACAAGTGTTCACAGAATTTATAGGGCTTTTTCGAATTGGCGCAGAACTAAAAGACCTTGTCTGATGAAAGGCTGTGGAGCACCATTAGGACCACTTCATTGCTTCAATCGCTAAGTACTCTGCTGTGTTCGACATGTGCGACGCTTACAGACTCAGCCGTGGATGTTCCAAGACTGCATTTTCAGTGTTCACAATCGTGACTTATTCTAAATTCTGTCATATGTCGCACCCCATGGGCCAAATAAAAATACAACTTGTAGCGATACGTGACCATGATTTATATGCTTACAGTAGTCATGTAAATAGTATTCTTGCCACCGAAATTTTACTGGGAAATATGACCACAGGGAACCCCGACCATACGGCCGAACTACTTGTTCTTGTTGTTGTTGATGATGATGGTGATGATGTAAGCTCAGTTTTGTATCAGTGAAACCAATTGTCAATCTGACCTAGACTGGGAAAAACAACTGGTGTGATCTAGTTGAGAGCCATTCAGTTGATGAACTTAGAGTTCATCGGTGGATGATACATTTGATGATGAATGATGTAAGCTCAGTTTTGTATCAGTGAAACCAATTGTCAATCTGACCTAGACTGGGAAAAACAACTGGTGTGATCTAGTTGAGAGCCATTCAGTTGATGAACTTAGAGTTCATCGGTGGATGATACATCCCAACCGCTGAAAAAAACATGTATTCTCAATTTGTCAGACGGCGCTTCTGTGAAAATGAAGCTGTTCGGTAACCTAGGTGACGAGCTTTAACAAAATACTTCATCTAATCTATCCGGGTTGAGTGAAGCAGTGTGTTTGCAGTCTCGAAATACTAATAAGAAGAAGCGAAATCAGATAATGCATGTTTTGGTCATCCCCAACATACAGTATCTCAAATATACTGGGAAGACTGTCCCCTTATTTGTTTAACCATTGATTTCTGGATTATTTTCGAAGCGCCCTTTTTAGTGACCGATGATTATGCTTATCTAGGGGTGTTGGTGTACCACCAAACTGAGCATAATGCGCTATTGACAGGTAAGATGCATCACCAGTAGTTTTGATACTTTCACACAAAGCTGAGTCACATCTGCTCTCCACGAACTTGACTGGAATGGATTCGGTTGGTGTTTTCGTGGCAACTCCTTCCCAACTCACAACAGTTCGATCATGAGAATGTTAGTGCACGTGGCACGATTAGCATCTGAAATTTTCTACCGATTAGTACCGGCAATTGTTCGTTCAGATGCACCATCGACCAGTTCACGTTGATTTAGTTACCGGCAACGCCCCAGTGAGAACTCGCCATTCGATTTCACCGAAAGACTGTTCAAGTTTCATCCCCTTACTCCTATTATATGGACGCCATAGTCATCTCGTCGTGTGTGCCGCAAGTATACTTGACTGGCCAAAGTACATTGGTTTTTAATGGAACTTAATTCAGGTGATCAACGGAAACCCGCAGAAATACCAAAGGTGTAACAGATTTTGTAAATTAACTCCAGTTGCCTCTCTCCAGCGACAGGATGGCTCTCTTTAACTGACTGAAAGGATGTTAATTAGTGAAGCTGATGTGCTAAAAATATATTTTATCTTGTTAAAAAACCGATTTCAGGATCTTAAAAATGTGGGGGCCGCTGTGTTAAACCACTCAGATTGCTTTATAAGTCGATTGTAGGGCAGCCACTCACACTAACAAACAAGAGTTCTCATTTTGTGTGTTTGCCAACATAAAACTAGTCACAGTTGATGCAGTTTTTAGGACTTTCTTTTTCTGTGTTGAAATCAGTTTACGTGAAATGGCCGTCATTTTGTGAGCTTCCATAATTTGTGTGGGTTCAGTTGTAATCTCAATATATGGAAGAAACGTATGAGTGGTTATCTGTTTCTGGTTTTGCTATTGAGGCACCATCCGCCTGATGAAATTCCTCCGATATCCATTGTTTTCAACTATGCCGGATTGCTTTTGTTCTACATTCTCAATTTCACGGCGTCACAGTGTGTCTTCTCTCCTGATTGGAGATAGGATACAACACCTCTGGTTCATTGGCTGGTCGCTGGGGCAGTTAACCGTTTCATCGGTTTGTGTATCTTTCCGATGTACGCAAGTTTCGGGGGTTTCCTCTACACTCCGGTTCACCAGTACGACCAAGAACGGTAGTAGGTTGTTCTTCTCCAGTTCAACTGTTGATTTGATATCTTCGAACATGGAGTCGAGTGAATCCGAATTCCGTTTCCTAACGCCGAAATTATCATTCATTTCACGAATCCGGAACTTTCGGTTTATAAGTCGCTACCTCGCCAATAAATCCCAATGCAGGTGATGGCAGTTCTTTCCAACTGCCAGGCTATCTGCCCGTCGGAGCTGAAGTGCTGAAAGTACCTCTTGGATTTGTTTCCTTCAATGTTTGGCGTGTTCTCAAATAGTTCCATCACTGTCTACCTTGCAGGGCCATACTTGAATTGGGTGGGAAATGCCTAACCACCGAACATGAACATAAGTTTATCTTTACATTCTGCAACTTGTTGAGGAATTACTTGATTCTGTTTTTATTGTTTTCTGATTCTGGATTTAGGTTTCTCAATCTTTTCCGCAGATCTGTCATCAGTTTGTTAAGTGGAGTTCCTTCTGACTGGTTATCCCTTCCGCTACCTGTAGTATTCTAATTATCGTGTTGATTCAACCAGTCGAGTGCGAATTCATGTTCACTTGGCCTCTAAGGTGGTCAGGCCACTTAAGTTTTTCGTTAGATGTGCGTACCAAACCAGATTTGAGTAAACAGCCACCTTGAATGACATCTTAAGGATCTGAGTGCTCTAGTTCGAACAGGAGAGGTGGGCACTGGTAAAAATAGGTCACGTTTACAGCGTTCTTGACACTATATGCTCCCAGTGTTGCATCATATCTCTTCGAGTCCATTTATTCTATCCGTATGTATGAATGGGAGGTGGCAATTTATCTTTATCACTAGTATTCTACTCACCTTTTCTCGTTCAGTGGACTCCTGCCGCCTGTTCCACCGCATTGTGCGGGGCAATTGTTGGGTATTGCTGACGCGAACACATCGATGCTGGTTCAGCGAACGGGTTGTGAATCAACACACTACCAGAATCCGGGCTCATTATCCTCCCTCATTGTGAACAGTGCTTCTGCTGGTGGCCCAACCGATCACTTGTCACCAGACAATCGTTCCATACCACATCGGTCGGCGAGCGATCGTTCGTCGACCGGTGGCACTTCAGAGCACCGTCACCGCGGTACTACATCACTTGTGCACCGTCTTTCGGTAAGTGAACTACGTCTACTTTGATCGTACGTTTATCCTGATCTCAGCTAACAGCAGTGACCTGCTTTGTCTCGCCCGTTTTTACTCTGTTGATCTCTTTTGTTCGGCCGTCACCAATAGCCTACCACCGTTGCCGCAACTCTGCTTTAGGGTTATACTGAATTTTCGACTTTTCACTGTAGGTCGACCTCTTTTGTATGATGGAGTTCACATTTGTGTTCTCTAAATTTCTTTCTTACCGATGGAAATGGATTTTGACCCCACCGCTCTCAGACTACAGCATTCGTCAAAACCACAGTACTTTGTTGCAAATGCACTGGAAGTAGATGAATCGGCTCTAGTAGTGTTCCGAACCATCTTTGTCCGTATACGGTAGAAACGACAATATTGACTTCTTTCGAGGAAGACCGTGTTAGATAAGGCCGTCCCTAAAATCGATGCACTCTGGTCGCTCAAACGGTTGTCCGTCATCGCTAGCGACTTATTTGGTTGTAAGCTACAAGCATCCCAACGCGGGTCCAAAGGCATCTGTGCACAATATTATCGAGGATGAGATATCCATACCCTATTCTCCATACCCTCTGGCTAGGCCAGCCCCCTGTAGTCTACAAAGCCTGTCTATTGAGTCATCAGTTCCGGCCAGGGCTTTCCAGGAGACTCTTACCACCTGCTGACTTACGGGTCAAACTTTTGAGAGCCCCCTAACTAACGCCTTTACCCTCCATTCGCCTTACAGATCAGACTTTCGTGCCAGAGGCTTGACAACTGAGATTTACCACTTGCTCTCGACCGATTAATTAATCGCTCTCAGGAACGTTGTCTTGAAAAGCGAACTGAGAGTATCGAAGAACGATTCCGCTCGCCTCATCAACACGATTCACTGCTAGTTTGTGGAGCAGAGACATGATCTGTGGGATTTTCAATGTTTGATCATTGGTGTCCAGTGCACTCTTGATCTACACCAGATGAGCTAGCCACAGTGCCTCAATAACGCTGGTTAAACCACGTACGCGAGACCTTTTTTACGCAGCCTCATAAACGGTGGAAACGTCCGAAAGGTGGCAATTTTTTAATTTGCTAAGACGTATGATACTCTGGACCAGGTAACTCAGTGGCTTTGGCAACCGCCCCCTTTATAGGAACCCGGGCACCGGACCTTCCACTGCTTACGCACCTCAGCTAGTGGTGCTGCTGTGTCAATTTTGTTGCCTCCAATGCATCATTTCTCCTTTCGTATATTTTGGTGGACGAAACCGAGGCACCATGGATAAAGATGGGAACCACTGCAAATATTTCAAGTGCTGGTGGTTGCGGAGTTTTGTAAAATGCATACTCATATCACTATAATTTGAAACATAATCCTTCAGTCCTGGCTCAGTCATTCTGTTGAGTACACACCAAGGGGAGGTAAGCACTGAACTCGAGTTTCGCTCCTACTAGAGCTCGTCAGCAGTGCATATCCAGTGGCCGTTTTGGGGTTTGAACTCCGCACATCCGACATGCGAGGCGAGCTTGCTACCAATAGTCCTCCAGCGCAAGCTAGACTCATCCGAATTTTTACGTCTGCAAGTATTGCCCAACAACACCCAGAATTTCTGTAAACTTTCCGTGGAGCGTATGGTGGCTTATTCAGTGGTGTATAGGTATCTGGAACGAATTAAATTTTTTATCCATTGACCCTCGGTCAAGTCGATAGTAGTAGTGAGTTTTAATGTATTGGGGATCCACTATTGCATAGCCTTTATAGCACCTAATTTTATGCACGTGTGCTCTCCTTTTCTTCAATGGTAGGTTCCTTTGAACCAGCTGGTCATAGACGATAGTAAAGTGGCTTCATCGAGTTCGTCTAGCTCCTCTGGGACCCTCAGACGTCCGGGTGCTTGGCAGAGTGACCGAGCAGAGGTTGGTGAGCTGGACCCACGGGTTCGCTTGCTTCGCAGTCAGTGTAACTTGCTTCACAAACAATTGGTTACAAGGAGTTCCCCAAGATATCCTACCACTACAACCGTATTAGGGAGACGTGTTTGCGGTCGGCATCATCCCAATGATCAGCCTTTAGAAAGCACTGGGTCCGTCCACCCGCCTGATGCTAATAGCCACGCAAACGACGCGGACTCCACTGCGCTTGCTTTGGACGTGAATAACATTCAGGCGCTGCAAACAGTCCAGATTCTCTTACCACTGTTATTCGAATTGTTCACGGAAACGACCAAACTCCAGACCCGTCTGAGATGTATGGAAGCTATCCAAAGGTCAGTGTTTCTCTTGCTTGCCTAGTTGTGAGTATTCTTCAAGTCTTTTGTGCTGCAGTTCGGTAAAGTTGGACAGGACTATATATATATATATATACTCAGTTCATATCCTTTAAAGGCAAATTTTAGTCACTCGTGATGTTACTAGTTTTTAACCGCTAAGTTCATCAAATGCCCCAGATTTGGTTCCTCAAACAGGGCCTCTCTTGTGACATGTCTTGCAACCCACGGTCTGTCTTTTACGTACCTTTTTCTTATCTCTAGGATGCTGTTCTATTCGAGTCCGGTGTTGCTTGCCAAAACTCTTCGTCCCCGTGTTGTGTGCAGTCATATTGTTGGCATGTTGAACTCCCCGGAACGACGCGTCGTCCTTTCAGGTTTGCACATTGCTTTGTGGCTTATTAGCCGTATACCCCCAATGTTTGCGACCTATTTCCGCAAGGAAGGCATACTTCATCAAGTGAGCTTATGGAAAATGAACCTTTCCACACCGGCCACAAGGGCGCAGTCATCATTACACAGTTTGGCCAACCAAATCGATGAAACTACGAGCAGTTCCCAGTCGGCTACCACCGGTCATCATCATGCTTCTATGGTTAGTCATATAAGCATTTCACGATTATTTTACAGCTACCTACCTGAGATTCAGACAGCAGTTTGTTAGTATCACATCTGTCACCGCGATGAATGTCTGCTTCACAGTAAAACGCGCAATTCATTATTCTCACCACTTTCGACTGTGGTTGTCGTTCCATGTCGTCACCTGAACTGTTGGCTGAATGGAACTTCGTTTATTCAAATACTTGGTAAAAACGGTTGAGTTCCCCTGTTGTTAACGCTTTTATTTTCCGGTCGAGATAGTCTCACCTAACGGTACAACCACACATAGAAGATATCAACCTGTAGAGTAACTTCTAGCGAGAGAATTTCGAATCCAATTTTTTTAATAATGCACCGAACTAACCCGTCAAACAGCTCCAATCGGACGCTCAATCCTGAATGGGCACCGCTCAACATGAGCTGTTTTTTCGGGGCTGACTGATCTCTCGTCATTCTCTCTCTCTCTCTCTAGATGTAACTCCTGGATCCAAATTATCCCCGATAGGTGGTCTGACAGACGTACACCAACGACTGGCGTAACATCGCTGAGAATTCAGACTCTATTTTCATGGACACCTTCACAAGCAGCTGTTTCCCACTTCTGCTCTAATTAGTGGCTACACACTGAAATTCTAATCATGGACAGCTTTCAATTGACTAGTCACCTTCACTTTGTGAACCGTTGATTAACTTTCTTATATTAATGTAGTGCCGAACCGATCAATGCACCGAAGAAGCGTAACTATTTTTTGAGAAATACACTCATTTGCAAATCAATTTGGTTTTCTCGGGAGACTCAACTGAATCTCTCGCTTATGCTATTCTGCAACTGAATGTACTGCACACAGGCCGCCTCATGATTTAGTTGGCACGATTCTTGTGACATGTCTTGCAACCCACGGTCTGTCTTTTACGTACCTTTTTCTTATCTCTAGGATGCTGTTCTATTCGAGTCCGGTGTTGCTTGCCAAAACTCTTCGTCCCCGTGTTGTGTGCAGTCATATTGTTGGGATGTTGAACTCCCCGGAACGACGCGTCGTCCTTTCAGGTTTGCACATTGCTTTGTGGCTTATTAGCCGTATACCCCCAATGTTTGCGACCTATTTCCGCAAGGAAGGCATACTTCATCAAGTGAGCTTATGGAAAATGAACCTTTCCACACCGGCCACAAGGGCGCAGTCATCATTACACAGTTTGGCCAACCAAATCGATGAAACTACGAGCAGTTCCCAGTCGGCTACCACCGGTCATCATCATGCTTCTATGGTTAGTCATATAAGCATTTCACGATTATTTTACAGCTACCTACCTGAGATTCAGACAGCAGTTTGTTAGTATCACATCTGTCACCGCGATGAATGTCTGCTTCACAGTAAAACGCGCAATTCATTATTCTCACCACTTTCGACTGTGGTTGTCGTTCCATGTCGTCACCTGAATTGTTGGCTGAATGGAACTTCGTTTATTCAAATACTTGGTAAAAACGGTTGAGTTCCCCTGTTGTTAACGCTTTTATTTTCCGGTCGAGATAGTCTCACCTAACGGTACAACCACACATAGAAGATATCAACCTGTAGAGTAACTTCTAGCGAGAGAATTTCGAATCCAATTTTTTTAATAATGCACCGAACTAACCCGTCAAACAGCTCCAATCGGACGCTCAATCCTGAATGGGCACCGCTCAACATGAGCTGTTTTTTCGGGGCTGACTGATCTCTCGTCATTCTCTCTCTCTCTCTCTCTCTCTCTCTCTCTCTCTCTGAAGATGTAACTCCTGGATCCAAATTATCCCCGATAGGTGGTCTGACAGACGTACACCAACGACTGGCGTAACATCGCTGAGAATTCAGACTCTATTTTCATGGACACCTTCACAAGCAGCTGTTTCCCACTTCTGCTCTAATTAGTGGCTACACACTGAAATTCTAATCATGGACAGCTTTCAATTGACTAGTCACCTTCACTTTGTGAACCGTTGATTAACTTTCTTATATTAATGTAGTGCCGAACCGATCAATGCACCGAAGAAGCGTAACTATTTTTTGAGAAATACACTCATTTGCAAATCAATTTGGTTTTCTCGGGAGACTCAACTGAATCTCTCGCTTATGCTATTCTGCAACTGAATGTACTGCACACAGGCCGCCTCATGATTTAGTTGGCACGATATTCGAGATATCGCAGTATATGAAAAACCAAACTGATTTGCAAATGAGTGTATTTCTCGATAAAAGTTCAATTTGGGTTCAAGTAGATCATAAGGTTGACGGCAACTCGGGGATTGCGCCTACCTGATGAGCCCCAAGAAGGGCAAAACCGGTCGTGGGCTGTCGAAGAGTTTTGAGCAACTATGTGAGTAGTTTGCTTTATGAAAACGCTAACTATCGTTATGGACCATGGTTATGTGCACTGAAGCTGGGTAGGAGCGTACACCCCCAGCGGAAGGTAGTCATCATGTTCTGTAAGTCTCGACTGTGGACCGACCTAGCAACAATCGTTGCGGACTCTTTATGATATGAAAATCATTGAAATGTTCACCTAAGTTTGTCTAGCTAGTTATCTATCGAAGCAACACGTTACCTATCGAAAAATACCTTTCTTCTTGCCTCCACTCTTGCTGCCTTAAGTTTTTTCAAGTGTATGACGGTTGTATGTCAGTGCGCTGCCTCTTTGCGAAGATCTCTGTCTTCGGACAACAGAAGCGCTACAAGTTATTGCAGATTTTGTTTTCAGCCGATCTGCCTTCACCAGATTTTTTCCTAGAGTGAGGGCTACTTTGGACATTAGTCTCGCCTCCATTTGTAGCCCTATCCCTACTAGTGAAGGTTGTCTTTGGATTAGGACACAGTGCGGAACCACAAACGTTCTTTCAAGTTAGGACCTCTTCTGCTTGCAACCACTGAACATATTGCTAACTTTCATTTCGTTAAATCAACCAGGGAACGGTTGTAACTAGTTTAGAACACTTGCCACCTTTTTCCCTGAGGATGAGTTGTGCTAAAATATGGGTCTCATTCTGGGTACACACTGCTGTCACTTTTCCCCTTCTGCATCCTATCACCCTCAATTACAGTCAATTTCGACGCACTGTTCACTGGATGAAACCAGGTTACTGGCAGACGTTGAATCACAGTTGTGGATTCCAGCTGACGGACGTCTCAAAGAGCTTCCGCAATTCGCAAGCAGCACCCCTTACGTGGACCGTGTTCGAGAGGAGACCGGTACTCATCATGTTACCGATTTATCAAGCCGCGGTTCGTGTAGGCGCTCTGGAGCGACGGTTTCTGCTCCAGTTTTACTGACACTGCCCCTGGAGGGAACAGAGAGCAGGTTCGTAATGCTGTTACTTTTCAGCACATGCTAATGTGAAGTTCTAGTCTAACCTACAAACTTTTCAATGCGTTTCTGGTTGCTCGATATCGCCCACGGTTTGTTCATCTACTGGTCTCGAACTCGACTTATTAGCCCGATCCTACCTCTGTTTTCACCATAACTTGTCGTTTTGCTGTGGTAACACAACGTTCTTTTTTTCGCAGTAGTCCAGCCTCAGACGTCGCATTGAACCAATGGATCGAAAGTGCATGTTGGCAACTAGAATCCCGGGTGGTCTCTGTTGCACACATCTCAAACTCGTGCAGTTCTAGCCATACGTCCACTGGCTCCGGCCCCAAATCACACGCTACTCCTACTGGTGAACGTTCGCCCTCTGTCATCACCGACGCGGTGGATATTGACCTTATGCCCAAACTGGTATCAATAGCTACCCACGTGAATTCCAACAAACCGGCCTTGTGGGTGTTCGCGTTCAGCCAACTTATTCAGTTGCTCCAACCAATGAAACGTGTCAATGCCACACATATAGAGCCCCCTTCGCCGTTTGAGTTACAGAAGAGTGGAGTGACCGAGGCTTTGCTGTCTTACTTGACGGCCACGGATGCGCGGGAAGCACGCCTTTGGATTTTATATAGAGTAAGTTCACACGAGTTCACATATTGTCGGTCCCTACCTGTGTTTTCGTCCATTCATGAGACTTTTGTGAATCCCTAACCTCATTTCTTTGCTTCCTCAGATGTTTTTTGGAGCACGCGCTTGCATGAATAATTGGATTCCACCGGTTGGCAATTTGCTTCTGAGCAAAAAGCAGAACAGTAGTAAGAACTGGCCTCATCTGTTAAATATGAGTCCCGTATTGATGAGTACAACCAAAGCTGATCAGTTACATGAAGTGGATGCGTTCATTGACCAACAGACGGCTTGTGTGGACAGTCTCACGTCTGACGGTCCTTCAGCTTTCAATGCTCTGTTGGAGTGCTTGTTAGCCTGTTTCCACAGACACGAACATTTTCAAGTCACCGGTCTGCCGTCCACCCTACCGCCTGACAGCAGACTTTTGGCTCTGATCCAAACGGAACAACCTAACTCTGGATCTGTTTCGGCTGAAAATTCCAACCTGATGGCAGCTAATCCCACACATTCAAAGAAAGCTGAATACAAGGACAGTTCAGTATCTTCCGGCCCTTTATCCGTTCCGAACAGTCCATGCAGTGATAATTTGCAAAGTCGAGGTAGTACTCGCTCCCGTGGTCAACGATTTCAGGGTACTAGGCCCCATCTTTCCAAACTTTCTTGTTCGAAACAAACCATTCAGAGTGGCTCCTCCCCAAGCACCGACCAATTACTTTCCAAACCGTCTGCCACGACACACCTACCTGACCCCCATCTTCCTCCCACACCCGGTTTCATGTGGGTTGAGTTTGTACGGTTGGCTTCCCCGGATGAGGATATTGATTGCGATTCGGCGAACTGTTCTGGCACCAGATCTGGTGTGTGTTCGAAAAATTGTCGGAAATCTTCTTCCTCTTCCTCATCAATCTCTTCTCATCTCTCAACTACCTCCGGGGCAACGAATGATGTTCCACTGTCAGTACCCAGTCGTTTGCCGCTGCAAATCACCGCTTTAGCCACCTTTCAAGTATGTCTTTTTCCGCACTATGATTTGTATTTATCTTTCTGTCTTGTTGGAATCTCAGACAATGACGCTAGTTTGGAACAAACAGTTGATTTACAATCAGTTGACAAGTTCAACACACTTAGCACTGGAATAGGAAATGGAGTTTGTTAGGTGGAAACTATATTACATAAGGAACTTTTTACTACCCTTCCAACTTCCGGTAGGGTACAGTGACCATAGATCGACCAGCCTTGTTTATTTGTTTTCTGTTCGCCCTTCTCGCATAGTGTTTTTAAAGTATCTCACGAAGAGAGGAATCCGGCCCTCAGCACGCAACCCTAACAGCGCACATGATTCTGTTGTATCCTCCTTGTTGATATATCAGTCGGACACGTTAGATCACCGGAATGGAGAAGACAAACAACTTCGAGGAAGTTATATTGCAAACAAGTGGATCGTTCCGTGGTATGGGATTCAACTGAACCAGAATATAAAAAAGGAGCAACAGTCCGATAGGATGTCAGTGAGGCTGAAATGTAGAGACAAAGGTTTTCAGTATACAAGACAAATCGTTAATTAAGTGGATTTGTTCGTTCGGAGGTAGTCCTCCTATCAGATTCGAGGTGTGTGATTAAAACGTAGGAAATGTTTTATATATATGTTATATATATATATAACCGTGAAATTTTTTCTCTATAAGGAATGGTTCATATTCCGTCACATCGAAATTTTCACAGCAGTTATCATACCAAAGGACCACAATTCACCCTTTAGTTGCTTACGATAATTCGCAGTAGGGTGGTGGTTCGATCGAGTTGAAAATAAACGTGTTGTGTATCCTGGGGCGCATGGAAACTAGTTACCCATCGTGTCGCTTCTACCCAATCCAGTCCGCCACGCACCACGCTCTGCTACGTTACTCCTTATTGGCGTCCCTTTTATCTACCAGTTCCTATTCCTCTCTAGGGTAACTAAGACAACCTTTGTTCGTCCTGCGTTCTGTTTTCCCTGGTAATCAAGGTTCATCGTTTGTTTATTCTGTAGCTGGTCGAACGTATTCTTCTCCAGCGCAGTTACATTAGCAGTCTGATGCATGAGAAACCTTGGAACTCCGATCATTACTACGGCCTGACCGACGTCTATTCGCTCAGTCCACGTGAAGGTGACTTGCGAGAATTCTTGGATGTTCGTGGTCCGGGTGAGGATAGTGATAATAATGATGATGGGACAATTGATCCCAGGCGACATCAAGTGAAGAAAGATTCGTCCGTATCGAAGAGGTCGTACAATCGTTCCCATCGGAACCACGCCAGTTTCAGCTCCACATGTCGTACTCCTGAATGTCCCAGTGACGTTGATTCTATTTCTGGTACGAAACAAACAAACTCCAGTTCTCGGACTACGGTTTTCTCCGAACCCGTTGATCACCCAATAATTACTTCTATCACCTATCCAGTATCCGCCATGTCTTCTGAATTCGCTACGCTGCATTCTTTTGTTCAACTAAATTCAACATCCCAAGCGCCACAGGGCAGCTCAGGATCCTATCCTCCAAACTCCAATTCATTTCAACGTGGTCTACGCAGTTTACCGCAACGAGGCGCGGAGGGGCTACCGATGTTCATTGCAGGTGTTGGTGAGGATATTCAGGCCTCGGATTCACGTAGGACTGACAAACCGTCCGAGTCATGGGGTTTGCGACGTCGTTCAGCCACGAAGTTCAATCACCTCCGAGATGGCTCAAATTCCCAAACTGACAACACCTCTAGTGCATCTTACGCCGCCCATTTACTACCCTCCAATTTGTCCAATTCAGAAAATCCCGTTTCTGAGTCTCAGAGGACCGTCAGTGGCAGTTCGTCACGCATCAGTCCGAACGTGCTGCGGAATCCAAGTTTTTCGGTGGTTAATCGGGAAACTACGTCATCTGAACACTCCACGAGTTCCCAGAAATTAACCACTTCGGCGCAGGTCGGTGGGTCCAGACATCGACGACTGCGTGGTAGCTCTATTTTGGCAGCTTTTGGTGCACTCAGTAATTTGTCTTCCGTTACTCTTAACCCACAGGCAGCAAGCTATAAGCAGCAGTCCAGTAAGACCTTTCGAGGTGGATCCCACAACGCAAGTAATAACTCTGTTGGTTCTACAGCAGTTTCTCGCCGGTCCTTCGCTATGGGTTCTTCCAATTTCTCGTCAATGTCTCCATCTTCTGTTTCGAATTCCTCCGCTTCAATGTCGCCAGTAAGCACAGAAACCAGTTCGCTGTTCCGTGGGAAATGTCGTGCTCACCTACAATTCTACATAGATGGTCACCAGTTACCTTCAAACCTACCAATTTTCGAAGCAATTCTGAAATTCAGTCCGGAGTTTAAACGACGGTTGTCGGGTGCTCAGATGAGAGCCGTGCAACAAACGTGCGGAAACGCTACGGAACAATTCGCTGGGAACTCTGCCCTTACTGAACGTGAATTAGAGGAACTGGTATGTCTGAGCTATTTATGAGGTCTCTGTGATGGAACTGAATCTCTCTTAGAATGGCGATCCTCATTCTTTGGATGAATCCGCAGTTAAGATTGCTCAGGGGGGGGGACAAAGGGGCTTTTAACGAGTAGGCCTGGGATTCGAACCTTTGTCACCTTTGTCCAGGCTAAGGCATGTTCACACTCTCCAGTCACCTTTGTCCAGGCTAAGGCATGTTCATGCTGCATAACAACTATGCAACAAATAGGGTGTAATAATCCGCAAGGGCTACTCACTAGCCGCGAAGGGCGACTCCCACAAGAGAGGCCAGAAAGTCTTCTTTCCTGTGGGAACACTGTTTTCTTGCAGCACACGGTTGTTGGGTCTTACCTGTAGGTTAAGTAGTTAATCTGGACCAATTATTTCTCGAGGTGCACCTTTTCGAACACTCAATACTCGTGTCCCGTTGGTGCGGGCACTTTTGTCGTGTAGTTTTCAATGATGGCTTCATTTTGCGGGGTACTCTGTATGTAGAGGAGGAACTTCGGGAACAGTGTACTGCTGATGCACCTATAGTGCACAATACTTCAGGAAACCCAATGCCATTTCCAATCCGCAACTTATTGCTACAGATAATGATACTTGATCTCTTGTACATCATTCAGAGTAACCCAACCTCTCGTACGCGTACTTCAGTGCTCTGTTGATTGGCTGATGGAGTGCCAACTTGAGTTAATTTTTCCAACAAAGATTTCGAATAAGTTTTTGGAATGACTGTACCGGGTCATGGAGGTGTGTTCGTCTTGCAGATACGGATGTCTGCTGTGCATGGTTGGAGATGTAGCAACTGTGGCCGATGAGCACGTAAAACACCTAGATTTATTACGAAAAGATGCAGTAGATTGAACGATTGATGTTACTTGTTGACTCCGGAGGCCACGACAAAAGTTCTGCTGTATTCCCTACGCTACTCCATGTTTACGGACTTCCAGGTACCACTCCGTAGGTTTTAAGACTGATAAATGGAAAAGAGTAGCTCGCACCCGGCATACCTAGTTGGTTTGCCACGTTTTTCAAAGCTTACCGGATGGACTCACCTAAAGAGCTATTTTTTCTCCACCGTGTTCTGTGTACAAAAGTTGCAGAGGTCGGATCATGACCGGGCAGCGGGGTATGGAACATGTAACTAACACACTTAGTCGATTTGAGAATTGCCCCCCCTGGATTGGGACATGTCATTGACTAGAAATAGTGAAAAGCATGACCCATATTCGCAAACAAACCTGTTCATACGTTCGGTTTGTGACTCCCCTAGGGCCGCTTCCTTATTTTAATTCCCCTAAAACGCTCTATCACTTTAAAAGGACGCGGGACATCGCCTCATGCATATCTTGCCGCACCAAATTCTTACACTGCTGATGCCACAAACTCTGCTTGAAACGCTGCACAACCTCGATAGGTGACGCTGAAAGCTGGATGCTTCTAACATAATTCCGTATATACAGATTAAGATTGCAGTCTTTATTTCACGAATACTTGGACTTGAATTGATCGCTGTTTACATGGTTTAGTGCTTTGCTGCATTTTCCATACGAGTATTTCAACGGTGGACGATATAGCGCGAGTTGCTCTAAGGTGCATTATAGAGAAATAACTCAGTTTTTACCAACGGATGGGTATGTTATCCTTCCTCACCGCCTAATAGATGCTCGTGTTCTCTTTTTTTCAGATCGGTCATCTCATGTGGAGTATGACGCATGTTGTTCACTACCGTGTACTGTCTACACCCGTTCATGGAGACTCCGCATCAAACAGTTACAGCGCTAGGAAAACGGAACAACATTCTGTGGGGGCGCTCGGTTCTAAAACTTCTACCGGCTCATCCACCAAAACCTCTTCACTTTCATATTCCCCTCCGTCAACCGGAACATTCGGTTCGGCCATTACTTGTCTGAAGCGTCGTCGTTCGGACGATTTGGAGGTTGCTGCCGATGCTCATGTGGATAAGTCATATGATCCTCCCAACAGTCCCACATGTCCGATAAATTCAACAAGCTGTTTGAATGATTCAAAACACCCATTGTTTAGCAAACTCACGCGCGATCTCCCCAAAGGACTTCTCAGTGAAAGACGTTGTTCATGTGACTGTTCAAAGGGTGGATGTCCAACGGCGTCGATCAACACCAATGAGGAAGACCACTTTTCTGCTGAACTGAATGTTGCAAGTTGGAATTTAACCGAACAACCCATTTTTGCGACGCTTTCCTTACTTCGAGTATTCCACGCTATCAGTCGTTTTTGGTACACGTTGCACGATGTACTGGATCCATACCCAATCTTATCTCCAGTAAGTACTGTGCCTGTTATTGCTTATTTGTCAATTTTTGAGCAGTTAGTAACTAGGATAAAACATGCTTTCATACTGGTAGTCTCGGTCATACAGTAAACGGTAGGGAACATCTGATACGTAAACCGACTATATACTGCCTTTCAACAACCCCACCTAAGAGTGGCTACCCTTGTCGTGTCAGTGAAGTTTATCTTAACCAATGCGATACCAAACTATGCATTTAAGGTCGGCTCGATTAGGACAGATTGGTAATAGCTTTTAAATTGTCATAGTATTCTTCTCTATACTTCTCTCTCGGAAATCAGGTCCTTCATTCCTCTTGATTCCATGTTGTCTTGACAAGTACTGAGTTCGGTAATGGCTAATCTATTCGCTATAGTGTTTTCAAACTACGGACGTTTCCATCACTGTTGTGGGTAGTACGTAAGAATAGTGTCCCTTCGGTTGAATGTTCCTCGTCTACTTACATAGCACTGATTTCGTGGAACTTGTCATCGGTCTGAATATGCTTGTTTTTTTTTGCTGCGGCCACAGCATAACGTATCCATTTGAAAATTTTGTGTGGTCTGTTGGGAAGACCGGTATTGCGCTTGCTCTTTGTCCATTCTAAGGAAGCTGATGGGTAAGCATGTTATTGAGCTGTTCTTCCATATTCTCTTACTGGGCTGACTGATTGCTTTCGCTATCGCGAAAAAAAATCGCCTCGCGTAAACCTATTTTTGGTCCGCAAACCTTGTCTACGGGAACATGCGAATTCCTACACAGTGTGCAAAATACATATACGGTTACCCCTTCTTTCATGTGTCCTTTCGTGGTTACATCAATTAGTTGTGAGAAGTCCCTGTCTGAAAGCAGAGGAGTTGAGGAAGTGTGTGGAATAATTACATGGCCACAAGCACTCGTTCACACAATCGGGATGTATTATGGTTCTCGCTATTCGTATATGCACCGAGGTTCTTGTCTAGTTTTTAATCGTTCTCAGCAAACCGGGTTTTAGCAGACCCTGGCTTGCCGAATGTAATCGCATCCGTCCTCCAAAAAAAACTCAGAGACGAAATTCACACAAAATTCCTATGTCCAGGGCTGTTGTTCCATAAGATCTAGTGTGGCACAACTGATCCGTGCAGAAGAAGAAGCGTCTTTTAGTAGAGTTAACGAAGGTAGTTTGAGCGCACTGTTTTGGACAAGGTGGTTATTGCATCACGGCTGGAAACATTGCCAGCACCGAAAAGGGCAGTGTCAGAAGCTGATGGAGTCTGTCTTGCTGACGCCGTGCCTATTCCGCCTATTTTTTGAGCTGCGGTTTGAGCTATGCGGTTAGTGGTTAGATTTTAGACTTTGAACAGTGGATTTCATTCTGTGAACGAATTCAACCCATATTGAAGTGCCGAGAGGGACCGCTCAGTTGTTCCCTTTTCTGTGTGCAGGATGCAGTGCACATCTCATCGGTCTCTTGGGAGATCTGATGGTGCAACATCTGCAACAGGAATTTGAGTACTGCCATTCCGTTATAGCCAGCTAATGTAAGTAGCTAAGGTCTAGCTGGGGTAGAAGACCCCTTGTTCTGATAAGTCGCCGCTTGTGAGCCAGTCTTCGCTAAACTACGTGATATGAGCTGTATGGTTGAAGATAAAAATGGTACTGTATCCTTTTTATGTACGAGTCAATCGCCCTACTGATCGACAAACCACACAGGAATGAGTTCTTCAAATATCTGCTTGATCCAATCTTCTCAGTAGGATTCGAATTGTTAATGACTTTTAATAAAGACGAAACAGCTTTACATTGTTTGTCAATTTCAGAATAAAATCCAGACTGGTCAGGATGGTATTTGCTATTCCCGACAGTCTCTAGACAGATCTTCGTTATCACTACAGCCTGTTATACCGTCTCGTTGATAGCGTTGATCGCCTTCTCGTTGAAAGAAAAAATGTGTCTATGACTCTTTCCTACCAGCTTGGTATCTGTTTCGCAAAGGTTTTGTTATTCCTGCAGGTGATATCGTCAGTACGTGATTGCGTAGGCTTCTATTTCAAAACATCTACCCAATTTGACCGGTACCCGCCCAGTAGTTGAATCCCGTTTGGGTGTAATCATAAGAGGGGTACAGTATAATGGATTTCACAACCCGGGATGGTGCGCGTAATGCCTTGACTTGGGCGTCCATTGTTCGCAAACAGTGGTAAATGTTGTCAAATGGAAGCTGATTGTCACGCATGTAGTTGGTTGATTGATTTTCTGCTTTCATGCTGGCTGTGGACGTAGAAGACTTCCTGTGGTGTCAAAAACACTCGGACACTTTCCCGTATGTGTGTGCGTTATGTGTCACATACGTCATTGTACCCTCAACTCGGGAATGAACTGAGTTCAGTTAATTATTGCACGTGTTGATTGTGACCCTCCATTATGTTACTTCATCCCGCTCAATTATTTTTCATACTATTCAGCTTAAATTACTCTGTTTCCGAACACCATTTTTCACATACTGACAAAACTGCTCGCCAGAAAACACGGGTGGTCGCATACCGCATAGTTACTTTCTGGGTTTGGTCTTAGTTGTAAGTTATTTTGCCAGTATACAGCTGCGTTCACAATTCACTCTGGGCCGTCTTTTTTGCGATCCGTATTCATGCTAGTTTGCAGCCAACTTTCGGACACCAGATCTGTTTAGTTGTCTGTCGTTAGACGCCAGGGTATTTTTCTGATCACTGCGCAACTCCCTAACCCTAAGGTCCTCTTTATTTCAGACGGTGTTTCGCAGTCCTAAACTTGCCATCAAAGCCAATCGTCAGTTGCAAGATCCATTCAGCGTGCTCGCCGGAAACCTTCCCGGATGGTTGACTCATTTAATATCTACATGTCCCTTTTTGTTTCCGTTCGATATTCGGCGCATGTTTTTCTATGCCTACAATTTTGACCGTGATCGAACCCTGCTACGTTTCCAGGTGAGCATCATGATTACAGTAATCTCTTGATGAAATGGGCCTTCCTTGGGGGATTCGCTGTAGTTCATTCTTCTCAACTCAATGGTCCTTCCGAATGCCCATCTTGGAAACTTGGACATTCGATGCCCCTTGATGACTAGGCCGCGACTAACGAGGAACGTTTTTTTACTCTGCTGTAGTTGCCGTCTTTTCAAAATAGTTTCTCTTGGGAGATCACACCATATACGATTGCTGCTGTTTAAGTGACCTCTTCCTCTATGGTAGGAATGCTCGGTCAAAGTAAATATTATCCTCTTGGAAGATGTGGTTTGTGAGTTATTAAGAGACGACCTCTCATCAGAGTCATGCGGTCGAGTTCGGTGACTGGGATTCGAAGTGACCATAAAACTATTTGTAACGTTTCGGACTTAATTGGCAAAATGCTGTTTTGCACCGACTTCGTGTTCTTATCACACCTGTCTCAAAAAGCTTTACATACTTTTCTTATTCGGAGATTAGTGCTTTGCAACTGGTGTTGAGAAAACGTCCATGCGAAAGGGTTATTACAACATTTCACAGGTGCTTCTCCGGTCACTTGATATATTTATCCACACCAGTGGTTCTCAAACCTTTGAGCCCATCAACCTCCTAGTACCCTATTTATGACGCCATCACACCCCTCGCCTCATATGCAGTACACCAACAAAGCCAGAAAAGTTCAAACGAAGCAAATCAAATGATCATTCAAAGTTATTTTTATTGCTCTCAAGAAAGACCCTTTGGTAGGGAGGTCAATCCTCTGGAATATATGTACTGCACTCTCTCGTCTGGCATAAGTTTGCGATCGCCTTCTGAGAGAACGAAACATGTTCTTCCGTTGTTGTCTATCTTGGGAGATCATTATACACAAAGCAAAAAACCGGGTGGCTGGATTTGATGGCTACTAGCCGCTTAGAAATGGCATAGGATTCCAATCTCAGAGATGTGAAGTCGCTTTCGGATTTTGGAGTAATTCGTGTTAGAAACTTCTTCCACTAAAAATGATGATACGGTGAGCAAATGTTTGACTTTTACCCCAATCGAGGACAGCATTTTCATAGCTCTGTAAACAACCAGAAATCTTACGATAATATGTTGTGAACGTACTACGAACATGACGGCATTTATGGATTAATCTCCTTACTAAAGAGGCACAAAGATCTTCTGGGGGCTCATCCTGACAAACTAGCTTCATTATGAAGTTGAGGTCCATTCAACCAACTAACACGGACTACTCGCAATGGCTGCTTACTCTCTGATGGTTGCATTTTAATAGCACAAGACCGTAAACGGTAAACCTTTCTGGGCCATACAGACTTGTCTGAACCCACTGAAAGTCGGTGACGCACGGATTCAGTGCGATAAGCGGTCATATGAATGACGTTTTGCATGGTTATGCGATCACAGCTATCTGGGTGGTGTGTCGGTGAATTGGCATACCAGCTGACCGCAGATATCTGAGGTGGTTAACATCACTGTATCAGCCCTCACCTCTCTCTCTCCTATGGGCTTATTCCCTCGCTCACTTTGAGAAACACGGTTCGGCACCCACCTCGTTCATCCGTAAATCTCTATGCTACGCATCGTCATCATCATCATCGACAGCATGACATCAGTGTTCAACACCGATGCTACGCGGTTTTTAGAAAGCTGAACATCCCTTTTTCACCTAAAACTTGCAAGTAATTTAACAGTCCATTTTCCGTTTTACAATTCGAACACTCCAAAGCTTCTCATCCTTAGCTGATGGGAAGCAATTTTGACCAGGTTAATCGCCTCACAAAAGTGATAACACGCCCACACTGTTGGCGTGACTGAACCTAGTTCATGCTAAACAATTCTTCAGTGCTAGGTGCAGTTTTGGAGCATGTGTGACACCCTCCATGTTAATCCGCTTCCTCGACCTTAATTTTATGGTTACCCAAATCAGTACACCTGTTTGATAGAAACAACGTAGCAACCTGTAACCGACCAACGGTTTTGCTCGATGACCTGTTATGTATTGTCTCTTCGACTCACAGGATGCCACATCTGCAGTATCGGAGATGGAACAACAAATGGTTACTGGCTACAGAAATCCTACCGTCACAAACGTTCAGGACAACTCACTTCTTTCCGTGCCACATTCATCCATCCCCAGAAACCATATGAGCTCTGAATTTCCCCAATCCGGCAATCCTGGTTCCCCAGTGAGCAATTCAGGCCTCAATTATCTGTCTCTACTTGCTCCTTCAGCAGAAAATGGGCAGCTCATACCAAATATAGTTTTACCCATCCGACCCGATTCTACACGACATTCCCACGTGAGAAGTCGCTATCATACACGATTGGCATTGTCTCCCAATCTTCGGCGCCACAAGGTCACAGTTCATCGTGATGGAAAGCGTCTTTTGCGTCAGGCGGAGTCCACCTTGAGTGAATTGATGGACTCACGTGCAGTACTTGAAATTGCATTTGATAATGAAGTAGGCTTTGGTTTGGGTCCTACTCTAGAATTTTACACTTTGGTCAGCCGGGAGCTCATGAAGTCTTCGCTCAACCTTTGGTATGGCAGTGAAACTACGAATGATGGATACGTGGTAGCACCGGCTTCAGGATTATATCCTCGACCTTTGGCGAAACAGGCACGCTCGGCTGTTGTTCGTGAGGTAAGAATATCAAATTCTACCGAACACCTGGTTACGAATTCGATGTGGTTTTGGCTTCGCCGATACCAGGTTATTTTGCTAGTCTTTTGCCCGAGGACCGTTTTTCATGTCGCTGCCTTTCCTATCTCCTTAGGTGCGTTCCAGATTCGTCTTTCTTGGTCGCCTAATGGCTCGAGCGCTTCTAGATTGGCGCCAACTAGATTTGCCGTTTTCCGCTGCTTTCTTCAAGTGGTTTCTGGCCTCGTCCCCACTCGAAGCCATTTCTGATGGCCATATTCTTCCCAATGATTTGGCCTTAGTCGATCCGGAGCTGGCAAGACATTTACGTCAGCTAGCAGACATGGCAAATCGTCGTCAGTATCTTTGTCGACAGCTAACTCAGCAGTTGAACAATGTGACCCATATTCAAGGCGGTTCACATACAAGAGGCGCCTCATTTATTCCTGTTTCATCGTCCAAATCCAGTTGTGCTTCACGTGGTTCACATCATCGTGGCGTGGATGAACTCAAAGCAGCGTTGCTTGTCTTGGACAACGAAATCGAGGACTTATGCCTGAACTTTGTGCTTCCTGGCTACGATGTAAGTGTGCTGTTAGTGTTCCGCCAAGTCACAGGTATTCTCACTTCTCACCGACATAGATATGCATACCACTACTCTCTCAAAATGAGTATGTTCTAAAGTTGCGGTGGATTATGGTGTGAGTGCTGCGATACATAGCAGCCTGTTGTCTAGAAGCTTTACAAAGCAAGTGAGGTAAATGGCCTTAAGGCTCTGCTTTACTCTATGACGCATCATTTTTGAGGTTAGTGTTCATGTTAATTGAACATTTAGTAATATGTAGCTAGCCAGGTATCCACAAGTGTATGTAGCATCGCAAATCAGTATTATTTTAGAACCGAGAGAACAGCCACAGCGGTTCACGTGAACGATTACTTAGTATGGTATTGCCTCCTCGGGTTTTGTGGTTCAGGTAACATGGAGTGTTGTCACCTTGGAGATGGCCTCGTCCGTGATCACAGCAACAAACTTAGGTCTTCGTTTGTACTTTCGATACCAGTTTGGTACAATCCATCTTGTTCGCCTTATTTACCATCAGACTGTTGCAACACTCCGTGACACCCGTTCCTATGTAAGTAATAGGATCGCTCATCGATGCTCCCATTCTCCCAAACCGAACCTCTAAGACACACTTAGTAAGAGGAAATATCCTTACGTTCAATTACTTTTTTACTGTAACTTCTCCATGCTGACAAAACCCTCCAGCAATAGATTAGGAGCCACCGAATGTGTAGCGCAGCACTCAGGCTCGAACCGAAACACCTACCGCGCTGATGGTTGACAGTTTCACCCGTGATTGCATTTCACTTGCTGACTGGAGCCAACTAGATTGAGTCCTATTTACTGAATTGATTAAAGGTGATGGTTAGTTTATGGTCCGATACAACCCACTTCATTCGTTCAGTCTGTGGAACGACCGCGGTGTGAGTTCGTGAATGGCACCTCCTGTTAATTGTCTGTCTTCGCCAAACAGGTCAAGGTTGCACGTCGCAGTGAAGTAAGGTAGAACAATTGACGCCGTACCAATATGTATCTCAGTGACCGCTTCCAGGTATTTAATATGGTCCAAAACAGAGAACTTATTACCAACACTAAATACCCATGCTGCGAATCTGAAGGTTTGGTTTGTCCTATTGTTTTTTTTATTCTACACAATCTTGCTTGTCCGAGACTTTCCTAGAACACTGACATTCATGTAGTGGTCATTTTTGAGGAATTCATGTGTTAACCTACTGAGTTCTACACAACTTGTCCGAGACTTTCCTAGAACACTGACATTCATGTAGTGGTCATTTTTGAGGAATTCATGTGTTAACCTACTGAGAATGGAATGGTATGAATCCTGTACGAATCCCTGTTATATCCTGGTCTTGTTTAGTCCTAGACCCCTAACTGAGCAAGGCCTTGAAATTAGAAGTGGTTTAGATGCTCCCGAATTATTTCTTGTAAACGGGGAGTATTGTATTGCCGTATCTTTGGTTCACGTGCGAACCCTGTCTGAGATGCGCAAGGTATACTGACAGTAGTGGAATAGTAAATTAGCGTGAAGTTACATTAAATGATTAATTAACCGCAACTGGCCTGTTGGTCGATCAAAGGAATTTGTCAGAGCATAGTCTCGTGCTCTCCGTTGTTTCATGTCACGTGGTTAAGACATCATTCTCGCTTCATGCATCCAGTTGACTGAACAGCTTGAATTTCGTTTTCGATCACACTCTCTCAAGCGAGTTTTTGTACTTCCTTTTCAATGGGGCGGACCATAGATCGCCTTCATAAAGTGTGCTAGTCGCCTAACGAAGTAATTGCCTAGCTCATTCACTAAGAGGTCTTTTTACCCGTTTGCTGGTGACCTACTAAACACTGGAATAAAAAGCAACCCGACAAACATGCGATCACTTTCGATGTTACATATCAAATATCGTTATTTCGAGATTTCACATTCCTTGCTCGCCCCCTAATTGAGAACTCCTGTTTCAAACGGTTGTGTTTGAGCAATAACAAGGCTAAAAGGAAACAAGTACTTAAACATAGCTTCGCGGGACCCCTGAAAGAATTTTCTAATTTACGCGATATTTGGAAGCTGCCGAACGTTAGGAGGTGATGTTTTTAAATCATAGCTAGTCTGTAATGCTCCACATGGATAGCAGATGAAAATAGTTCCGGCATTTCCTCTACTTGTTTCTGAAGGTGCTTTGCGAGTGACTCATTTTGAACATGCTGGGCGCCCGGTACATAATAGTGTGGATGGATTGTCGCTCTCGAAAGAAACCGAACTTAGCAGAGCTCATTTGTGTTTCGAAACCAGTCGATGTTGATCGCGTGTCGGATAATGAGTACCTGACCTATCAGGTGCTTGGTTCTTGTCGCCTGTGGCCATTCTTTGTTTTTTTGTACTCACAAGTACATGGGCAATACTACATCGACACTTTAGAAGGGCTTCTCTGTCTAGGTAAATGAATTGTCCAGTGAAACTGAATGATGAGTCGAGCAGCACCGAGTTGCACGGGTCTGATGCAGAAGGAATTATCCAGGTCATGTTGCAGTAGCCTTTGTACGTGCAATCACTTAACCTGTTCACACGACAATACTTGTGGCTGAATAAAAAGATACGGATGTGTGGTTAGTGATCGCGTGCTTGCGACAGTAACAGTGAAGAAAACTGGTGCTTTGCTGTCGTCGTTCAGCTGTAACACCCTTTCGGTGCCTAGCTGCCGTGCCACCCGAAGGAGGCACGAGGGCTGGGATAGTGTCAGGTTACCCAAGCTTAGGCAAGGGAATTCGAGAGGCAGAGGTCGGGTTTGAACCACGACCTTCCGGTCAATAAATTCGCGCTGATACATCTCGCTTTACTGTCATACAGCCTCGTCATTCAGTTGAACAAGACCTTATAGTGAAAAGAAGATAAACGGAATGAGTGGAGCCTTACGCTAACCTCCACTAACACTTACACTTACACTTTCAACGCCCACTAAAAAAATCTTAATAGTAGCTGAACTCCACTGGCATTGATTGGCCGCTATATATTTCAACGCCTCCAGCCAAGTACAGAGAAGATCACGTGGGCCCCATCTTGGAAGGCGAACATGATCCGGAATTTTCGGTAAATCATTCATTCCTTTATCTATCGGGTTTACGTTGGTACGTCCCTGGTACGGGATGTTCCGCTGTTTGCACATGCGGCTCACTACCAATACCACCGTGCACCGAAATCAGTACGAACCGTGTCAGACAGCACGGCGATTTCCAGCTGTTGCTACCACCACTGACAGTAGATGTGAATTTTTTGTATACCCAACCATTTGTATAGTTGACTGGTTAAGCTCGTAACGCTTCTGTCAACTTTACTTGACAATGACTGAGTTTCCTTGTTATTTTACCACATTTATAGATTGAATTGTTGAAGAATGGGAGTCATGTCATGGTGAATGGAAGCAACCTGGGTGATTACATCCGTCTTGTCGCTCACTGGTTGGTAATTGAGGGTGTGAATCGCCAAATGGAATCTGTCATAGAAGGGTTTGACTCCGTACTTCCCAAAGTACGACAGCGTTTGGCGGTATTGTTTCAGCCAGACGAAATGGAAGGACTGTTTTGTGGTCGATCTTTCTCGCACTTCGAGACGCTGTGGGGTGATAACTCGGGGAGCCCGTCACGATCTGGCGAAAGAGAGTCATCGACCTCCAATGAGTGGGATGTACAGAAACTGACGGAGTCTTGTCGATGTGACCATGGCTACACTCCACAGTCTCGGAGCATTCGCAATCTTTTCGAAGTTATGTCTGAGTTTGACGAAGAAGAGCGGCGCTTGTTCCTACAGTTTGTCACTGGCAGTCCTCGTCTTCCTGTCGGAGGTGAGTCCGTTTCCCATTCTAGGTCGAATGTCAATCGAGCTATGCTGCATATTCATTGGAGTGCACCTAAAGGACTGTAGCTTCAATAGTCGAGTTGCTGAGTGATCTGTGTTTCATGGTTGCGGTCGCAATCATTCATTTTGACAAAGTTTTGTATCCTGTAACTGAAAATATATTTGTCACAAGGAGTAAAGATAGGTTGCATTTCACGAGATGCGCCTAATCTATATATCACAACTCAATCGTTATTGTTTTTTTAGTGAATTTCACTTGATTGAGTTGACTGGTGACCAGTGGTTCTGTCGCCGTCTCTGATCTAACTAGCTGGTGAACAGTTCCAGTAAACCCCATCTTAACCACTATATTGGGTAATCAAACAGATCCCAATGCCCCATAACCTTCGTAATTTGGGTTCCGACAAAAATTCATTTTCCACGTGATCAGTTGAAAAAAATTCGGTAAAGGTCTAAGTGCCTGTCTGTTGCTGACTTGATATTACTTAATGGCCAACAGGACGAATCACATGATTGGGTTTTAACCGAAGTATCTGTCTGCTGGAAAAGTAATCGCCATAGCGGTTGGGAAAAATGACTGCTATGAGGTGGCTTTGATCAGAGGTACACTGGTTACATGTGGCACGAAGATCCACATTGATTTTGTCCATTTGAATTATTTTCTCACCGGACTCCGTGGCTCCATACTGTTTTCCGTTGCAGGTTTCCGTGCTTTGAAACCACCCCTGAAGATCGTACTGAAACGGGAGAGCGGAGAAAATGCGGATGGCCACCTGCCGTCTGTGATGACCTGTCAAAACTACCTAAAGTTGCCCGACTACTCATCCAAAGAAATGCTCGCCTCCAAGTTGCACTACGCCATTCGCGAGGGACAAAACGCGTTCCATCTGTCCTAGTCAATCAGATTCATCGCAGCCCTTTGTGTACGCGCCCGTTCAACCAGCACCATTTTGAACTTTGTCTTCATCAATCCTGTACACATGTGCCTATAGACTACTGCGCGTCTTCTCCTTTTTGTGCGTGTCTTCCCATTCGTTTTCCGTTTCAAAACGCACACAATGTGATGACGCTTCAACTGTGACACCGCCTTCCCCTCTCCGTATCCCTGTATGTATACATTGGTTTTTGTTCGATTGTTTCATTTTTTGCCAGTTATTGTGTTACGTGCACGGTTTCAGGCCAGTAAGTTTCCCTGCTTGTTGGCCTGCTGTCCACCTCCAGCCGTGACGCGCTTATTTTTGTGATTCGCGAAAGTTTGCGTTCACACGCTCTTTCGGGCAACGAAACAAGCAGCTGCACGCGTTCCGTTACGTATTTTCACCTGTCCATTACTTGACCGAAACAGTTATTGCTCTCCCTTCTGATTTGTTGTTTCGTCTAACTTGTTTCGGATACACACGCATGCACAAAGACGATCTGTACGGCCCGGAGTCATGAGACGTACGCACATATCGATTGGTATGTATTGATTCATTCCCCCCGGGAGATGTTATCTATCTAACTCATTGTGTATGTGCATACACGACTGATTTGATAATCAGCTTCGTGGGCACAGTCATCACTGTACGAAATTCGGACATGGTTTCCTCTATGCAAAGCTACCGACCCTTTCATCTATGCATATACCCACGCGTATACATACATATACATATTATATTACATAAATCCCAAAGTTATCGGATCTCTGAGACCTAGCCTTACCTGTTAATCTCAGTCCCAAATCAGGCTTCTCGCCGTGCTCAAATCAAGTTTTTTCAGGCGTTCGCTCTACATTTCAAGTCAATCGAATTTATTTTCCACTACTTTTTACAATCAAGCTTTCTTCATGTTTGCGTTGGGTTGTGATGAAGCACATCCAACGGCATGAGAGACTTCGGCGACTTTGGACTTCTCAAAGCAGAACGGGGATTAGGACCCGTTTTCAAATGTCTCCTACATCTTCAGGTTTTCACCCTGCGTCCTTGCCTAGTCATAGCGAACGTCGTGACAAGAACTTCGATCATTGGGTGTACTTGACCTCTAATACGGCTCTATTTGTCTAGTTGGTGTTTGTGTCAAGCTATGATTTAGAATTGGGGTTTTCAATTCATCCCTTGGGTTAGTTATATTCCAATCTTATGGAACAGTCCGTGAGGTGCAGCGCCGAACACATCTCTGGTTGGCCTGTAGTTAGATGCTACTCGCCTTCCAGGATGGGGACCGCGTGATCCTCACTGTGCCTGGTTGGAGACACTACAAGATATGGCTGCCGACCGATGTCAGTGGCGTTCTTGTTGCCAGTTTCTTTTCAGATTGCCTGAGTGAATGTCTGGAGGCGTAGGCACCTCGGGATGATTGTGTTAGGCTAGCACTAAGTCCCTCCCCCATCCACCTTTACTTTTTTCTTTACAATAAGGTTTTCAAATAAGTCATGGTCGTACGGCAGTGAAGCATCGGTGTTGAACACTGACGTCATGCTGTCGATGATGATGATGATGAGAATGTGGACTGTTAATGGAGGCACCTGTTTGATTTTCAGCAGCTGTGCACATCTATAGATTCCCGCTCGACTAATTCGATTATCATGGATGTGATCCAACTTTGACATTCCCATCCATTGTTGGTCCCGCGTCTGATACGGGCACAAGTTCCACATGCCTCGGTCCATTATGGGGAAACACGGCATCCTGTGAGCAATCGATTTCCGCTTCAGCCGAAAATTACAATATAATATTTCGTCCATTCACTTATACTGACAAAGACGCTGCTACTCACTCGGGACGATGAATGCTTTCTGCCAATCAGGTTAACCATGAAGATACTGGATTTGTATGTCACCTGCACGTTTCCTCAGTCTCCCTAGACACTCCTAATTACTGATAAAAAGGGCGTAGGTTGTGTGGGCGATCAAACAGTCGATCTTCTTGTGGGACAAAATAACGTTTTCTTCCACCTCGGTCACAGAAGATTTCAATCTACAACAATCTCGGCCTTATGGGCGTGGTTGCCTGTCCAAGATTGATATACAATCACTGGGAGGCATGATTTAGTCTACAGAGTCGGCTGCCCGAGGACCCTTAAGTAGTCGATGAAGGCTTGCAATAATGGGGTGTTTCAATCATTGTGTTAAATTCTGAATCGTGTGCCTTGGCGTTTTAGTACCATTGCTCACATTGATTTCCACCCGAGGACCCTTAAGTAGTCGATGAAGGGTTGCAATAATGGGGTGTTTCTGTGTTAAATTCTGAATCGTGTGTCTTGGTGTTTTAGTACCATTGCTCACATTGATTTCCTTGACAGTGCGCGTCACCATCCCAAGCGGAACGCTTATATGCGCATGAAGATTTCATCCGCGTCATAGCTAGGATTTACCCAACTTTTATGGTCGAAGAGTTTTCAGCAACCTTATGAGTAGTACATTACAAAAATATATATGCATCGCGATATCTCGAATATCGTAGCGACTGAAATATGAGGCGGCACATTCAGTTTCCTGGAAACATCAAAACCGAGAGATTCAGCTGGGTTCCAGGTAGGAAAATTATGATGTACGAGAAGATACCCAGTCTTACTTCCTACAGACGTTTTATGTTGTGCACGTTTCAAGTCAATGCTTAACCAAGGTGCGGGAACCCCAGTAAATGAAAGTCAAATTTTGGGGATATAACATGCTCCAGTTGTGGTGGAATTTTGGGGGATATAACATGCTCCAGTTGTGGTGGATTATCCAGGCTTGAACTTTTCTGAATACCGTAACATGTCGGCCTCTGGCTCGATAATCTGCCCTAAGAAAGACTGCTACTTACTCGAGGACGACGTGCTCGGTGGGAGAGATGGGTTTCAGTGTCAAGGATATTTGTGCGTATGATTTGGCGATAACCCTTAAGGTTGTTGTTAAGATACCACGGCCCCGATCATAATCTGCAGCGTGGCCAACCACTACTCAACTGGACTCAATTAGACACACAGCCCTTCCATTTAAGAATAGCTACCCACTGGTGGAAGCAGATTCTGAGTTGATTAACCATATGATTAGGGCTCTCATTGTGGCGGTTGTGTTTTTCGCAGGTTGCTCGAAGTTAGCAAGGATACTTGCGGGTGGTTGGAGAACTGAACCTCTCGGTTCGCTCTAAGTGAGTCACAGGACAATAAAGACAAGCCGTTCAAGTGCACTTCTTTAGACAGAGAAGTCCAAAGATCTATCGAACGATCAATCTCGGTTCATTGTCTCATCTTTGTTTACTACGCCACAGATATACTGGACATATCGGTGACTATAATTCAACAAGTTTTCCCACCTACGTATACTACTAGAGATTCTAAGCACTGATAAGGTTGCAGCAATAAGAAATAGACATCCGTTCGTGATATACAGTACGTCATCTCGCATAAGACATGGCAACCAGGTTAATTGCGTGAGCAATTCGGTTGCGTCCTGTCTTGCTCACCGTGGTTTTGTCAACTTGATGCGTAATGTTAAAATCGGTCGAAATGAGTTCATTCTACCTGGAAAGGCGAGTAGTACTGGTTTCTCCTCACTGAGTATTTCATGGGCCTTTTGGGGTACCCCAATCGATAACCTTTGTGCCTAACAGATAATAGGTTGCTGAGCTGTCTGACTGATGCGGAGAGAAATATGGCAACCAGCCGGGAGATTGGTGTAAGCAGTTGTCACCGACTGACAAGCTTGACCCAAGCAAAACATCAACCAATAGTAGGTAACGGGTAAGGTCAGGCACAAACATGACTTGCGTGGATGCAGTGTCACTTCAGGTGAACCTAGACACATACCGGTGTGTCGCACATCAGTTTGGACGCTACAACACTAATGTGGCCATAGTACTGATAACCTATCAGTCTTCCCGTTTCATTTAAGATGGCAAACTTCGAGCCACATAATAACCACTGATCCAACTGAACTTTCTGCCGCACAATGAATTAAAGTTTAAGCAGCAGAGCTTCAGTAAGGTAGCCAGTAACTGGTTTTATAGCTTGGAGTGGTTCATTTAAGCTGTATGGGAAATATTTCCACGACTAACTTACAGTCGTTGACGTTCCAAGTGTAGGTAAAGCCCGAAATATGTGACAGTTGGTGGCTATGGAGGCTGAATGAAAACTGGATGGATGCTCTGTGTCTGAATATCAGGACACCAGTTGGGCAGGACAAAAACATGAAACCAATGATGGCTGTGATTCTGAATAATGGGTCACGTACACTCCATGGGAATGCTAATGAGCGTCCAACATGTGGATACGTTCACATCGCGAAACGCTTAGATTTCCAAAGTTGTTTAGATGCGTTCGGTTTGCTCCACTCGTGAAAATCTACGGAATTTTCCAATCGTCTTGCGACGCCCAAACTATGCGAGAATTCATCTATTCTGTTATCTGTACGGTTAGAAAGGGAGAGTTATCGGCATCGCGTTCTTCCCAAAGGTTATTCAATGAGTTGTGCATATGCGGTTTCAGATGGACTTATTAGTGCACAGGTGGTGGTAGCCATAATACAAATCAGGTGTATGTGCACTAATAGAAGTTTTTAGTATGATGGGCAGTGGAGGGTTGCAACGGGTATAAAAATAAATACAATGCGAAATGGGAGCGAGTCAAAAAGGGGACTCATCATATGTGAGTCTCTTGGTGAAAGTCCGGACGGCGGTAACGTGTTTTCTCCGCAGTTTGGCTGCTACACGTATTCCATAGTTGTCCGCGGGCTTGGGATATTTGGCCGACTC